TACCCTCTTTTATTTCGAACTTAGTTGTGGTGTCTCACAATCCTTAGATTGTCTACAACAATTAGCATTAGAAATAAATATATTCGAGGGAAAGAATCCCCAACACATGCTAACTTACACCGATCATTGTGTCATTATGAGCATAAAAAATCACGCCAAGGTCAACAGGTATACTAGATGTACTTCTGCAGGGTCCCCGAAAGTGTTCTGTTTCAAGAGTAAATAGAACAAAATTAGAATCAAACAATGAAGATGACAGAATCAATCAAGTAGATGATAGAATCAAACAATGAAGATGACAGAATCAAACAAGAAGATGACAGAATCAAACAATGAAGATGATAGAATCAAACAATGTCATCTTAAGAAATATCTTCTTTACTTCAACAGTCATGTAGTTTTCAAACTAAAATTGGAATCCAGCCGGTTAACTAAAAGCTTATATATATTATTTGTATGAGTAAAGATTTTGTTTTATTTGTTTATTTAAGTTTCCTTTGCTGTCACCAAACGTGCTCGCCTTTTCAGCCGTAGGAGCATTATAATGTGACGTTCAATCCCTGTATTCGTTGGTAAAAAACAACACCAAAACAGCTCAAAAGTTGATGATGGGTGGTGTTGACTAGCTGCCTACCCTCTAGTCTATCGCTTTTAAATAAGGGGCGGCTAGCGCAGAAACCTCTCGAGTAGCTTTAAGCAAAATTTAAAACAAACAAACTTAAAACATTTGTCGTTAGTTCTGTAGTTTTATCAATCATTGTAAAATATGTATGAGGGTTTTCGAGTGCTTTGTAAATAAACCTAAGAGAAATGTTGAAAACAAATATAAAAACCCTGCACTAGCTGAACATGTATATTATACTGGTCATGTAATGCAGCGGGAAAATATGGCTAGAAATATTAAGGAAACTATAGAAATAATGAAGCGCAGTAAAAGTTATATCTTAAATAAGGGTGAAGGGTTTAAAAATAAAAAAATATGTAGGTAGCGTGATCTTTTTTAAGTATGTAAGATAAGTAGTCACATGACCAATGGTTTTTATATTTATATGGTTGCACAGTATTTGTTTTTCATACTCCTGAAGATGACGTGAAACAACGTCAAAACATGTAGAGTGCCTTTTGAGACCAGTGATCAGTCTTTAAATAAAAATTTTAATTGTGTACTAAACAATGAATAATTTAGTATATTTTAGATATATATATATGTACACAAGTTCTTTGAATTTTAACCTATTAATATTATATTTTTAATGCTGTAATTTGTTAACTACAGGGAGCAGAATGACTTGAATGTTTGAAAGATGTGATATTAAGTTTTTATCACTATATTCAAATGTAGGTTAGAAATAAGACCTTCCTTGAACCTTGATAAGGTTAGTTAATGAGTGAGTTGTTTCAAAAAGATGATAGTTTCTTTTGAAGATAGAAGAGTTTTTATTTCAAGATAGAGAGTGAATCAGTCAGTGTATTAGTTATTGTCGTTACTTTGTACAAGTGAGATGATTTGTTTTAAGTAGGTTTACAGCAAATTACGGACGTTTACAGGTGTTCAAGTTCATAGAAATGCTAGTGGAGGAAATAAAGTAATTTATTATCATTGGTTGAATGTTGAATTATTTTCACCAGATAATATAAAAGAACCCACCAACAAACGAACTTACTTACTGCACTATTGTAATAAACCTAATTAAAATGCTATTCAGGAGTGATTTGTTATTATTTTTTAAATATGTAGTCTTGTTCACTTCGTGCACATGGCTATCAGTTTTATTAAATACACCCTGACATAAACCATGCTATAATATACCGATACCACCCAAACCGGTCAAACTGCCTAAATAAAAGATATGAAAAAAAGTTAAAGGTACGTGCATTTATACATGAATAGAATTGCCAGGAAGAAACTGTTGAATAATGATACAATGCACGTTCATCGTAAACAACACAGTATTTTTGTCTTAGGGAATGTTAATAAACAGCCAAGTTTTACTTGCTTAGTGCTGTAGGAATGGATAATTATGATAGTATTCTCTGTGTCATTTCGCATGCGGAACATGGCTAAACTATTAAAATTTAATTTTCACTATTTCTAACGCTAAAGGTAAATCCACTAACTTTATAGAGTTGGATTACGTGAACTTTGCTGGATCAGGAACCCAGTAGACATAATTTTTGGTTGTTTCTGTTTAATTTTGCGCAAAACTATTCGAGAGCTATCTTTGTCAGCCGTTATTAATTTGGAAGTGATAAACTGGAGAGAAGGCAGCTAGTCAACACCACCCACAGCTAACTCGTTGATAACTTTAATCGAATAGTGAGATTTTACCGTTATTCTTATTACGGATCGTTTTGTTGGTAAGTGAGCACGAACCTTGGATCTACATTCCCGCACGTCAACTATAAGGTTTGTTTACTCTAGAACAAAGCTATGTTGGACTATTTGCAATGTCCACCGCAGGGATCGAACCACGGATTTCAGCGTTGTATGTCCGTAGTCTTAGGGCTGTTCCATCAGGGGACGCCAATCATTGGGGCCCATAATGTTGGATTTTTCGTAAACAAAGCATGTTAACTATTCAGTTTTACAGCTTCCTGCCAAAGGGCAGCTAGTTCCATTGAGTGTTGCCGAGGGGAGATAGTTCTATAGAGTACCATCAGAGGGCACCCCAGATATTGGAACTGACCAAAGTAGACGTGTCCCACCCAACCTGCGATTACAAAATTGACTTGTGGCGTATCTGAGCGTATATAATAACAGAAAATGAGAAAATACCGGTTTCGGGGAATTCCATCTACCTGTAACCTGGAATAGGGAAAACCGGTATAACTCAGTTACAAATGGTGAATCGACTATTAGAGTAGGCTTCATAGATATTTTTGGTTTTGTAGTCTCGTGTTCTTGTTGGCTACTGCCATTTAAAAATCAGATTTATAACCGAAACGTTGGGATAAATAAATACGATTTCTTTCTGAAATTTTCTTCTTTCTCAAATATGGTTCTAGTCCTCCTGTCAGCACCGAAAGATTTAAGCATTGAAAAAATAGCTCTTTGTCTGTTCTCAGCCTTAAAAACCAACTTTTAGTTTTTAGCCTATGAAACGTTTCTAAAATTCATGATAACATTTTTAGTACAGATATCAAATCAAACGTCTAAAGCATCGTTTACTCATATACTACAAGAATGCAAACTTCATAATCATAAACTTAGTACATTCAGGATTATAGTACTTATTAAAGTTTCCGATTCAGTGATCACCGGAAGTAAGTTTTGTGACACTTCCCGATCGTTTCTTCCACATACTAACTATTTCCAGGCAAAATCTTTTACTGCAGTTTTTCAATGATGGTTTGAATCGTAGCGTTTTTAGCGAGTCTGTCTCTAACAATAAACAAATATAATTATATTTCAGGTTTTAGCAACTCGACTCACGTCGGTACCATCGGTTCGGAAAGATGCAATATAAGGCTTAGTGTCAAAGTGTCTGGATTATGGTGGATTGGTTTGAACAACATTGCAAAGTGATGATGGATTAGCCAGCAATAATTCTATGGAACACTTCTTGGAGATCCTTGGGCGTCGTTAGTTTTATTGCATTAGATTTACATACACAGCCTGCATCAGAGTTGAATAAGCCATAGTTGTGACTGAGTATCGATTTTTGCTAAATTTGAACAGTTTCAGTTAATTTGTTGCAGGTAACTGGAGATATATCATCAATGAAACTTAGCTGTATTCACTATAATAATAATAGTTTAAAACGTGCTATAATATCAGACCTCTTGTTTCTTTTGTAAAAAAACAATATAACTATTAAATCTTTCAGTAGCATGTCGCAAAAAATACAGGTTAAGCTTCTGTTAGCTCCTCCTGGAATAAAAAAATACACTAGATAGCAAATAATTGGATTTTACGGTCATTATCACAGCGCACCTACAGGCCTAGGGTACGGAGAGCGTTTTTCAGACAACGAAATATGAAAATTGAACTAACCCTGCTTCGCTGTAGAAGCGTCAGTATATCGATCAAGGTACTCCATTATCTCGAGCTATTTCTACAGCTACACCAAGAGTGGTCCGTAGGATATCCGCCCGTGGTACCTGAGCTCGTGTACAAGTTTGGTCCTTAGCTTGTGAGTGGAAGGTATGAACACAGTTTCTAACATGGCGCCCGAAGAATACCGATTGGCGCCAGGAACACACACAGATTCGGATTCAACGACCCTGAAAAACTACTCTCAAACCTTCTTCATGCTCGGATGGCCTTCCGAGCACGTTTTCTCCCCTCTTGGTAGGAGGCTATGTCTTTAAGATAAGGACATCTCCAGGACCACCCCGAGTCCATCTGCCAAGTTTGATCCTGCTAGCTTCAAACTGTGGGAGAAATAATTGGAGAAAAATACAGATATATATATATATACATTCATACATATAAAACTACGATCTGAATTAATATAGGATTAAAGCAGTAATAACACTAGCGCTGAAGGGCCTTTAACAGGATTGCTATATTTAATTAATCCATGTTTTAAGAAGCTAATGCCTTTCAATATATCTAGAAAATCAATAACAATGTTTCTACTTCTGTTTTCATCTATGTTCATCTCCAGTTCACAATAGTTTACGTGACAATCAAGTGTATGTAAAGTTCTGTTACTAAGTATTTAATGATGTTATAACACTGTATTTTATTCATTTAATTTTAAACGTAATTCTAAATGCTTTTCAATTATAATATCTTTGATAAATCAATTATTTAGTTTTTGTCAAAGTTTGTCATTTTAAGAAATGTAAACATATTGTAACACCTTTCCTATATAATAATTCGCCTTCTTCTTCTTCGAAAAGTAGATAATCCAATAATCCATTTTTTGACTTTATATATTTTCCTTAGCATTGAAAAAATTACGAACTTATGATAAAATAATATAATTGAAACTAATGATTAGGAATATTTTATGTCTACGTAAACTTTAAACAAGTCGTTTGTGCTTCTTCAGAAATCCATCTTGGTGGAGGCAACGCAATCCATTAGAAAGAGTATTATGTAGCGTTACAACAATATCTCTCATAATATTTTTTGCCATGACTGTGGCTTTAGCTGTGGTTACTTACAAGTATCAGCGAAACTTAGGTAAGTTATTCTGATTTTATTTAGTGTTTAAATGATTTACAAATATAATCCACTTTATTTGGTAACTTTTAACGTTTAAAACGTTTTAGTATATAAAAAATTATTAGAACTTCATGATGACGAGGATCCCACTTGAAGTAAGTATATAGTAGAGACGCTGATATGGGTATTAAAACACAAAACAAGTAGCAACGTTTTGACCTCCTTAGGTCAGCATCAGGTTAAGAAACGTTGTTTTTTGTTTTCAAATAAACGTTTTTAACACCGATATCAACCGTCTCTACTATATAAGGAAGATATAAATTATTTCTTCTCCAATTTCTACTCATGCATTATCTCCCCAAAAGCACTTAAATCCTTCTACTTTTATTTAATCTTATTTCGATAATCCAGAATAGGAAATGACCTTTAGAGTCAAAAGAAGCGAGAGGGGTAATCCAGTGCGGCTAAAATGACAACTAAAAAATTTCATGTTTCAATGATAATTACTTCGTTGTTTTTTAATATTCCAATTTTTCTTGCCTCTATTTTCTCTAACTTATAAAGTATATGGAAAAAGTAAAAACATTTATGTATGAAATGAAATTCTAGATAAATATCACAGATTTTTGGCAATAAATAGAATTAGAAAATATTCAATAGCCAAAAGTCAAGATGTTCGACTCTCATTTACAGCTGACAGATTGAACAAAAAACAAGAAGGAAAGGACTTTCTCACATCAGAACACGTTTGCACAACACCAGGTTGCGTAATTACAGGTAATGGAAACTGTTTTCTTTTTCAAAATAGCTGTACCTGTTTTAAAGCACGTGTATAATTGATATCTTATATAAAGTTCAAAGTGTCAAACAACACTTTTTCAAGGTCACCTACAGTTTCTGTGACTACTGCACAGGTGCTGAACACTGAACAAGGATCATATACCACAGTAGTATGCGGACGTGATTACAAATCGAATTGCAATTGTATGGTAAAGGTGAAAGTTGTCAATTAATTTCGCACATACTGCAAAATACTTGCTTTCAAAATTATGTTGTGTATTTGATGCTAGATGATTCAAAATACTTGCTTTCAAAATTATGTTGTGTATTTGATGCTAGATGATACAAAATACTTGCTTTCAAAATTATGTTGTGTATTTGATGCTAGATGATACAAAATACTTGCTTTCAAAATTATGTAGTATATTTGATGCTATACGATGCAAAATTCTTGCTCTCAAAATTATGTTGTGTATTTGATCTTATATGATACAAAATTCTTGCTCTCAAAATTATGTTGTGTATTTGATCTTATATCATGCAAAATACTTGCTTTCAGAATTATGTAATATATTTGATGCTTTGACGCTATATGATGCAAAACACTTGCCCTCAAAATTATGTAGTATATTTGATGCTATACGATGCAAAATTCTTGCTCTCAAAATTATGTTGTGTATTTGATCTTATATGATACAAAATTCTTGCTCTCAAAATTATGTTGTGTATTTGATCTTATATCATGCAAAATACTTGCTTTCAGAATTATGTAATATATTTGATGCTTTGACGCTATATGATGCAAAACACTTGCCCTCAAAATTATGTAGTATATTTGATGCTATACGATGCAAAATTCTTGCTCTCAAAATTATGTTGTGTATTTGATCTTATATCATGCAAAATACTTGCTTTCAGAATTATGTAATATATTTGATGCTTTGACGCTATATGATG